ATTGAACCAATAATTCCATATGAGATTAGTGCTACTTAAAAAAGGCTTCTGTGAAATAGCATGGTCAGGGGTAAAGAACAGTTGCAATCACCCATAGTAAAGGACCTACTTGCCCTGGTTCAAAAATCCTGCAATCTGCCATGACAGACAGTTTGAGAAGAGGCTTGCGTCTTCCTACAGAGAAATCCAAAAGACTATGATAGCTCCAACTGCCTAACTTCTAGGACTCAGAAAGGTTTTTCTGTCTTCTTGGATCTTTTGATTCTAAAATATAACAAGCAACAAATAAAACCTAACTATTCATTGAAAAGTTAATACAGGGAAGACTCCCTACTTGGCTTGAAAACTAAGAGTTGATCTCAGATGAAGTTGGTAGGGACATTTCTACAACTGGATTTAAAAGACAATTATTCCTTTAAACTTTCTTGGCAAGTGCTATTTTTTCCCATCTTAGTGCATAAATTATATATGCATATTTTCTTCAAGTTTAGTGACAATTTTTTAAAAACATACTTATCAATTGTCCACTCATTTCACACATTCAGGAAGCACCCCTACAAGTGCAAATAAAACACAGAACATCCCCTCTGGCTTATTGTGCATAGTCACGAGCCACCAAAACAATGCACAGATGGGAGGTCATTTCCAATTACGTAGATTCATATGTGCACATATTATACGCAAATATATGTCATTATTGTATGCAGTAAATTGTTGCCTACTGGCCTGGAAGTCCAAAATTATTTTTTCCCCAAAGGAAGGTCCAACTGACCCTCAAGTAAACTAGCACAAAGGATTTAAGCAAACTTTAGCCTCTAAAAGCAGTTACAAGCTCTCCTAATTTTCATTATTTTATTCTAGCACCACATACTGGAGCACCTGATGTCTTTTATTTCACATTATGATGGTAACAGAGATATTGTTCAAACCCTTAAAAAACATTTCAGATATATATGGGTAAAGAACTATTCACTACACTCAAGGGGACTCATACTCTGAGTCGGAAAACAGCCTCAAAACAAATAATGAAAACGACAGGAAGTGCAGTGCTAGCATGACACATGCAATGAACGTATTATGACAACATGGGAGAACTCAGCCTGGGAGGAGAAGTGGAGCGCAGGTACATGTCCTAGAGAAACTGGCAACAAAACTGACTCGAAGAATAATTAGGTGGAGAAGATGGAGCAAAGGTCCAAGTTTTTGAGATCCTAGATCACTGGCTAAATGCAATTTGGATAATTAGTAACCACCTACTCCAGACTCAATATTGTTTTAATATCAAGACAAAAGTAATTGTAGGATGTAGTGCTTGCCTAAATGACAACTTACAATCTAGTTAGGGAGGTAAAGGGTACACCCAAAACAAATTGTTAATAGTACATGGTAAAGTACAGATTGCAACACATAGACAATGCATCCATTTATTCATTCAACAAATATTTACTGTCTGTCTGCAAAGGACTGTATACTGTTTTAGGCCCTGGGGATATGGCAGTAGGCGAGCACACAAAGTCTCACGGACGTCACATTCTGGTGGATATTAATATGGGTTAATATTGGTAATATAGGAGTTTCAAAAAGATGATTATAATTCTCTGAAACAAAGAATGTAAGTAGAGGATGTTATTAGTCAAAAATTGCTGTCAATAGAAACATTTAGCCAAGTGTTCCAGTAAAACCTTCGCACTTATTAAAACATTTTGGATGGCAATTCATACCTACATTTTCTACTAATAATCATCAATTCATCAATTTTATCTAATGTAAAATATTTACAGTAGCTAGACCCTTGTTCTCTGTTACAAGGCATTTTTTTTACTCAATTTATACTTTCAACAACAACAACAAAAAGACATCATTTGGCGAAGGCAAAAGACATATACATATACGTATACATATTAGTGAACTTCTGGGATACAGGAGAAAGAAAACAATAATTCAAGAAGCACAAGACATAGTGACATTAAACAGTAGACATTTCTCTGTCAAAGAAAGGTAGAAACGAATCAAATGAGAGTGGCAAAGTCACAAAGGCCATTTGTACTTACTGTTAATATCCCAAGACCTGGTCATCTCAGGTATTGGGTACGGTTTGCTCATAATTCTGAAAAGAACTATACAAGTGAAGAGAGTTGAATCTAGATACACAGCCCAGGTGTTTTACCCAATGAAAGGGTGATTTTTGAGCTTATTATTTATATTGCTCTTCCCCATCTGACAAGTGAAAATAATGCTAGCAACCTAACTCACAATTGGTGTTAATTGACAGGTTACTATGTAAAGTTGATCTCCTTGAATGAAATCCATCATATCAAGACACAAGTGCCAAAACAGTTCCAACACTTATCGTGAGCGACACATCATTTGCCCCCTCGCATACCTTATTTCTCATCTTGTTCAATGGCAAGACCAGAAATGAGGTGTGAGAGTGTAAGTAAGAGCCAACATCTTGTGAAGATTATTTGTAGAAGAATCCAGTTTACCAAACTTCATGGAAGGTATCAGATTAACATAAATTATCATCTGTCTGCATCTAGCATTTGGAACACACATTCTACATCAAAAACTTTCCTGGTAGTGATGCCATGAGCTGCATAATAATCACCATGCTTTGATTAATTATTTTGCTAAATGGATGATTTAATTACATTTACTTACACTGATAACCTCAGTTTCTGCACTGCATTGCTTTTTATCCTAACACAACTATTCGGAATCAAAATAGAAGTAGTACAACTTGCAGTATTAAGCATACTAGTTACAGTAAAAAGATTTCCATTTGAATTATCAAAATAAATACATTACAAGAAATTTAGAACCTGAAGTAAAAAAATCCTCTAATTAAGGGAAACTTGAGAGAGCTTTTTAACAAGTTCTTTGCTGAAAGAATTTATTTGGTTTCTTGATCCTCCTACCAATCGCATTAACAATGACAAAAGATATGCAAATTTAAGCAGACAATAGTCAAGCCAAACGCTCTGACTCATACCAACAGGGACATTTTCAGCATATAATCAGCTCAATTCACGTTAGCAAGGGTCAATGTAACCAAAGAATATTTGCATAGTTATGCTTGGCCATAATCTGAAAACTATGCCATAATCATTGACCAAGAACAATGCAAACAAAAATCAAATTTATTTCACACAATAAATTAACATACGAAACATGTGCATCACATAAGCCCAATAGAATCACATATTTACCTTATTGCTGCTGAATCATTGCATAGCAACAAAAAATATGCATTACTATGTCTGAATCACCATTTTGACTCTATGTTTTACATAAACAAAATATTACATTTTTGGTAGAATAGCTTGAGTGGGACAATTTGGGACTAAATTTCCCTCCCAGCCCCTTCAAATTATCCAGACTAATTTTAATGATTGAATTCTCATTAAAAACTAGATGGCTGCTATAATGAGAATAGCAATAAGCAATTTAACCAAATTAATTTGTTTACTATTAAAATACATTTTGCTAAAGATAAAACAGATATCCTATTACAAACTACTGCTACAATTAGTGCTTGAAATTTAAACTACAATTATCAAAAGGGTGCAGAATTTGGTTTGCTTTCTATTCTTCCGCCCCTATTGATCTTTTTCACCTGTAGTCTACAATAGAAAGATTAACTACAATTCCAGGTTTGGAAACTCTGAAACTACCCAGTTTCAGTTAACTTGTCAAATAAAGTATCGGTGATCTTAGTTCAGTCCCTAGTGGACAAAAGTAGAATAACTATTACTCGCATGATTCAGCAGGCAGTGCTCTAAGTGAGCATGACAACTCGGGGGAAAACAGAGCATTTGTCGTTTGCCCATCTTCTTAAAGTGTTTGCTCTGTTAAAAGACTAATTTAAAGGAGACCGGACTGGCTATGTTCCTACCTATATGCACCAAATGAATTTTTAGTAAAGATCTCCAGGAGAGAAGAATTTTCACAAATGTGATACTGCCACCCTTCTACTGACATAGTTGAATACTCTTGTTATCTGCTGTTTACCTGTTACACAAACGGAGAGCAAAGAAAGAAGGAGCTGCAGAAAGTATGTTCATATTTTAATAGACATATTTTCAACAAAAACTTCTAAATGGTTTAGAGAGAAAAACTGAATAAAATGTGCATTTTGATTTTTATAAATTGGGATTAACTGCATATTCAACATTACCATTCATCTGGATACTTCCTGCATGGCACTGTGGTTACCACAATGTCCTGAGAAAAGAGGTATCTCAGGACTATAGCAAAGCCTACACGTGCTCAGCTCCAATCTGCAGGTGCACGCTCTGAAAACAGCAACCACCAGCTCAATCTCTCCTTTCCCACTGGGCAAACAACCTCTTCCTGAGGAGTTCACATTAAAATATATCTTCAGGATTTTCAGGGATGGAAAAAATATATGACATAAATCTGTCCTCTACTATTCTATTACTTGCTAAAATTAATTGCCTTTATATACTCACACAATTTCTCCAACCAAATATCATACTTTACACTTACTCTCATTTCATATTAACTTTACTAGAGGTTGAGAAAAACAAGTATTTGGTGATGATTCCCCACCCTAGCTGCACAAAATTCCTGGTGTGAAATTGATTTGATTCTAAATTAGTATTGTCATTATTTTCTTTTTTCACCAACTTTCTCAAGACACACAGGATTTTTTTTTCTCCAAGTTGGGCTTTGACAGAAAAATCAAGCTAAATTTTAAATAAGAGGAAACCAGAAACGTCATAAAATGTGCCACTGCTAGGCACATAAAAGGGTTGCCACCCTACCTTCACAGGCTTGCACAACAAGCCTGAAAACCTTGGCTCACCCATGAAGTCACTGGGAGCCAGCCGGCTTGCATTTGCAAACACTGCCTCCTTCCCACCCCCACCCCTGAGCAAAAGGTAAACACACAAATGCCCCCCTAAGGAACTCTAAGTTAGCTGCAGTGCAGAACGGAAAAGGCTCTGTGCAATTAGAAACTGAAAGCAATCACTTACTTTTTGCAGCCACTGAGTATAATTTTCCATCACATGCTCCAGATGTTGAAGTTTCTGGGAAGAGAAATCCGGTTCCACGTGTGGAGCATCTCTCTGCAGAGCGTTTGTGCTGTACTGGTCTGTCGTACTCTCACGACAGTTCCCGTCGTGTTCTGGAAGAATGAAAGTGTAGGCACACTGCCCATGTTGAATCCGGTTATATCTTCTCCCACCGTTTTCTGGACTTCGCCGCTGGTTGCTGCACCCTATGTGAGTCAGAATGGCAGCGAGGAAAGCAAAGGAAAGGAAAACTGTCATTGTACTGCCAGCTCTCTCCTTCTGTGCCTCTCGCAAAAACTTGCTCCTTTCTTCTGACCTTTAAACTAGTCTTTATTTTAGGTAAAACTGCTTGTTTGTTTGACTTTATCCCCCTCAGAGAAAACTTTTGAAAAAGAATCACAGAAAACTAGCCATTTGTTAGCTTTGTTCTAAAATGTTAGTTTTTTTTTTTTTATTTCACTATAATGGTAGTTTCCTTGAGATATTTATTGCATAGTAGCTGAGATTTATTGTTTCCTCTCTGTGTGACCGTTCAGCGTGGAGCCTGCCTGAGTCAGCTGCGTGTACATATTCTAGACCCTTTCCCCTACCCTATCTGCAGCAGATCTGCTATTTTCTCCCAGACCTCAGTGAGTTTTATTAAGGTTGCACATCCAAGCCGAGCTGGAAGCAGGCAGCCTTTCACAAGATGACTTGACAGGAATGCATGAGTGTGCCCCTATGCTAAGGGTGGCTGATGGCTTGGAGCAGCGGATCGTCTTACAAATTGGCTAGATGCGCACGACCTCGATCATGTACAGCCCTCCCGCCCCCTTCCGCAGACAATTGCCTCCAGCCTTTAGAAGATCCCGGGCAAATCAATAAATAGAGCAGTCCACCTTAATACACTTTTGCTGTGCATGCTGACCTACTAAAACCTAGCAAACTAGCACTAGGTTTTTAAAGTTAGTATGTAATCGGGGAACTCTAAGAAGAAACATTAGCATAATGTCCAGTAAAATAATTTTTGATAATGATGTCTGTATAAATATTTTAAAAAATTATCCTTGACTCTGGGAAAAAGAATTTAAAAACATTTTTAGAGATGGTATTCTCTCCTTGTATTCACTCAGACTTTTAGGAGTTGGAGACAATTATCAGGGAGGGTCAAATAAGCAAAACAAATTTTCATAACTTGTCACTCAAAGGAATGTAGATAGCATGTGCATATTAAGCAGAATAATCTAAGTATTTAGATTTCTGAGATAAGAATTTTAAATGAAACTATACCCCTGATCAGAACGCAGCCCTGTGTGTTCTGTGTATACAAATTGAGCAACTTTCTTACAAAAACAGTGTGGTTACAATTTAAAACAGTGGCCAGAGAATTATTAATTCCTGTGGTACGTCCTAAGCACAGATTTCACAAGGACCTCTTTGGTGTTGCTATGGCTATCTTTAACACTGGTATGGAAGTTTGCCATAAAGTCTCCTGTGACTACACAGAAAAACTATCTGAGAATAAACATATATCAGGTGTGTCAATGGGCCAGCAAAGGGCTGTCTGGGAGAAATCTGTTTCCATTAAGAAACAAAAATTATCAGAAGGTAATTTCCCAAATATAGGGTGTAAACATTTGAACAAAAGGATCAGTAAAACATAAAGAACAGGGTATAATTAAAGAATTAAGGTTATGGCACTGAAATCTTTACTAAGTATGTGCAGAAAACAGGAATTACGAGCAGGGGCTTTCATCAAGAACTGGGAGGGATTTTCAGGAATGGAGCTTCTCAACGGCTGTCATGGTATAAAAACAGAAGCCACAGATGTTGACTCTTGTGTCCTCAAGGTACAGGTCAGTGGGTAAAGGGCAATAAGATTAGAGATTGGTGTGTAGGGAAAAGTTAGAGGAGAGGGCAAGACAAATTCCAGGGAAAAAATGTGATTTACTTAGGAGAAAAATATCGTGCCCAGATTTATCAGTCTTTCTCATAGCAAATAACAAATTTCTGATCTGACAGAAATGGAAGCAAATAATACCAAATATAGCAATAAAGCCCTTGAACTGCCTTTGCAGCTTCCTCCTTCTGTTGCATGTCTCTTTGTTGGCTGATATGTCACTCATGTGCACTAATAATAATGACATTTATTAAGAGCTTAATATTTTCCAGGTTGGTATTAAGCACTCCTTACATACGATCTCATTTAATTATCCCAATGAATCTGAAACATGGATATTATGTTTAATCCCATTTTACTGATGGGAAACCTAAGTCATAGCAAACCTAATTGGTCACAGTTCACATAGCCAGCCAGGGATGGTGCCAGTATGTCAAATCTAGTGAACTGATTCCAAGCCAGCCAAAAGGCTTCCAAAGGGCTCCAGCTGCACTGATTCACAGCCCTAAAGCAGACTAAGTGATGGTACTGAGAAGTAAAACAACTGATTAAAAACCAGTTTATAGCACCAAAGTGATTTAATCCTTCTTCTGTACCCAAAAAAAAACCAAGAGTGACGGGTAACCTGTGCAGTAGAGTTTTTAAGGGCCCACAAGGACAAAGTAAACTGGCAGATAGTCTAAAATCATTTTCCAACATTGATGCTTTGAAAATTATTCCTGGAAAAAAGAGAATCCAAAACCAACACCTTAAGTGATTCATTAAGAACTAAATACAGCTGAAAATCAGCAGAAGGTACAAGAGTGAGTGGTGAGGCTTCTATTAAAGTGTTCCTGTGTTTTTTAATAGCCAAGACTTAAAATTCTGTTTCTCTATGTAGAGTGTGTGTGTGTGTGTGTGTGTGTGTGTGTGTGTGTAAGTTTCTGTGAATCTACACATGCTTGTTCATATACACTTTTCCAATCTGAAGAAATGTAATGAAGGAATGCACAATTTCCTGAGGGAAGAGTAGACAACTAGGAAAGGGAGGCTTGAAAAGCAAGTACTTAAAAGGAGGGAGGAGACAGAGAGACAAAGAAATTGATTTCTTTCCTTTCCAGAAAAAGAAAGAAAGAAAGAAAGAAAGAGAGAGAGAGAGAGAGAGAGAGAAAGAAAGAAAGAAAGAAAGAAAGAAAGAAAAAGAAAGAAAGAACAGACATGACACTGCAGGTAGTAATGTCAATCTGGGGGCGGGGGAAGGTCTCAAGATAATTTTAATCAGCTGGAAAACACAGGGACATGTACAATGAACTCACGTTTGGGGACTTCAGTTGAGGAACATTGGGTGCATTTGAGGATCCTTATGAGATGCTAAGGACAATATTCTTCCAAGGACGTGAACCTAACCAACAGCAATACTGTGGGTCACTGTTGCTGACTATTCAGCCATTTAGGAGACTTCAGAATTTAAGAAGTAATATGAAAAACAACCCATATTAAAAAAAAATTCCTCTGCCATACCTCCAAAAAGGTTTAAAAAAAAGTTCTAAAGAACTAAATAATTGTATTCAGTTGAATACTGAGGTAGCTTGATCTTGAAAGCTTTGTATCCTTGCATTTTATTTGCATTATTAGAGCTCTAGAATAAGGTTTATGCTTTAAATTTCTGATCTCTTATCTGTAATAGTCCTAGTAAACATTAGCCTTATCCAGAAATTTCCAGTGGGGCAGGGAACACCATTTACATGGAAACTTGATGGCCCTAAATCTGTCCTAACAACTAGTCACCGTTACTTCCTTCAGGAACCTTTCTTAATTTCTCCAGGCTCAATAAGTGATTCTGATGTGTTTCAATAACCTTTTTTCATATCTCCATAATGGCACTTTTTACACAGCTTTCTAATTATGTCTTTTTTGGCTTATTCCCCTCTCTAGCTGTGAGCTCATAAAGTAATCTCTTTCATCACTGATTTCCCAGCACTTACTGTGCACTTCGGTTGAAGGAATGAAAGAACAAATGAATGAGTGAATGAGCTTATTCAATTACTTCTGTTGCATTTTGAAGGTGCGGGGTGAGTCTGCCTAGAATTGGGATGAAGCCAAACTTGCTCTAAAGAATGAGTTAGATATAATAACATGGCACAATAATAATGCATAACATTTTTTAATCCATAACAAATTAATTTCCTCATTTAACAATTACAGCACCCCCGTAATTATGTATTATTATTTCCATCTTGCAGATGAGAAAGACTGTGGCACATAGAGGTTAATTACCCAAGATCTATGAGCTATAATGCCTTCAACCATACTCAGGATTAGGAAACAGGGAAGAAAGCATTTCTTAAATTTAGGGGACAGGAACAACATGGCATTTATAACTGAGATGAGTCTCCTCCTCCTCTTAACCATGGCCATCATGGATTCATGTTATAATCTTCCAAAACAGAGCTAATATTAAGCAAAGATGCACCAGTATGGTTGTCCCATCCACTAACAAGCATCCAATCTGATTGTTCAGATTATACTTAGGATCAATTCTGAATGGTTTGACCTGTGCTATATCATTTGTTATATATATTACCCTAAAATAACATCAAACAATATAAAATAGAGTTTATTCCCCAAAAACACCATCGGGCACCTCTCAAGTTTTCATACAGATCCCTATGATGACAAAACAGGTGGGAAAGCATTCTCCTCCCTTGTATACTTAACACAATGTCATTCAGCACATATTCTGTGGATATATTCTTGAAATATATCCTGTATTTGAAGGGCACCATATTTTATGACTCTGCTCTGGCACTTTCAGGGTTCAAGAATATCAGCAGGGCTATGGCAGTGGCAGCTATGTCTAAAAGGAAGCACTTGGCTGTAATCCCTGGAGGCAGAGCCAAGACCCCTTCACTCAACTATGTAAGCATCAAAGGTATCCACAACAGATGGAAATACCACAGGGGGCTAAAACAGAAAAACAAGAAGATGGAGAATATCACCTGGTGACTGATGGCACTTCATGAGTACATGTGAAATATCCACTGGTACCTCTCAAACAAATTGGAAAGACTGCAAAGAGATGGAGATACTGCAGTGGATGGGGTGAGGAAGATACTGCGGTGGGTGGAGAAATATAGGTAGGTGAAGAACGTAAAAACTATTATGTAAATATTTCCCTGCCTCTGACAAGAGAAATTTCTGGTTTGGTGGGTGCCTTCCTATCTAAATCAGTTTTTACCTGTAGCTACCTATACGTTGGAAAGAGGTCAGACATGATTAATTTATTCCACATAAGAAAGTAGAGAAGGGACTCAAGGGAAGATCTAGAAATAGAAAACTGGGGGCTAGAGAGGTTTGGAGAAGAGTCAGAAGAAAGAGGAAACCTGTGGCCGTGTGGCTA